TCCCAACTCACTCTTCACCTCGTTATGATTCTTTGTTATCATCTCCTGTAAAGATTGGAACATCGTCACCACAACTTTTTGAAATGAATTTGATTTCTCTGCTTGTAACATGCTCTCTATCAATCTTTGACTTGATGGACTTGCTGCTGCTGCTGCAGATGATGGTGCAGATGTTGTTTTCTTTCCTAATTTTCTTATATTTTTATACCAACTTTTAACATCCCTATTTTAAACCAAGAAAAGAACACCTTTTTCTCTTCCAATTTCACACCAATATCACAATCTTATAATTTTTATAATCCACCAGATCAGTCTGGAAATTAATCTGTGTAGCATAGAATACTTTTTTGCAGACTCCAGGACTGGCCCATTGTCCTCCCCAGCCTCCTCACTGTCCGACTCCGCTGCCAGCTCCACAGGCTGCTGGTGGACCACAACACTAGGGGGCCTCCTGACAGGTAGAATTCGGCTGTCTTGGTGGAGCCCCGCTAAGTCATTACCATATTGCCACGACATCAGCCCTGCTCCTCAGTTTCTCCTTTCTTTTTCAATTTGATTTTTAAGGGGAGATTTTTAATCCACCTCTGTTTCCTTCACAAATCCACAATTGTAGATCAATATCTTTTTCATCTTCTGTTAATTTAGCTATTTTAGCATTTCAATTTTAAAAGGTGGTATGTTCTCTACGTTTATCTCCAATCCAAATAATATTATTGCATCAATGGGCAGGTGTGAGCTTCAGGTACATACAGAGGCTTTACTTCTATGTCTTTCCCTGGTATCTTCATCTTAACTGGTTCAAATTCTCTTACTTAGAAACTTTTTCCTTTAACACCTGTTACAATCATAGTTTGGTCAGAAAATGTAAGTCCTTGGGGTATATAACTTAGAGATGTTCAGGCTGCTCCTGTGTCCACCAAGAATATACAGCTTCTTGATGAGATCCCACTTGTACATTTATCAAGGGCTTTTTGTGGGATCTTAAGGTCAACGGCCCCTGACCTCTCTAATCTTCTAATTGTATGAGGGAGTAGACTTCCTCCTCTTTCTTCAGGGTGGGACAATCTCTCTTAAAGTGTCCCTCCAGATGACAGGCATAGCATTTGGGTCTGGGTCTTGAGAGTTCTCCATCATGACCCAATCCCCAATTGGATGGAATTCCTCTGCCTCTTGCTACATTTCCTCTTATGCCTCATGGAAGAGTAAATCTTCCTTGTCTCACACTTTGGGATGGTCCTCTTTCTTCCTTTGGACTACTTGTTCCATTGTAGTAATCATGATTTTTGCTTTCTGCTTCTGCTTCTCATCTTCCCTTCTCACATACACTTTTTGAGCTTCCTTTAAGAGGTCACGTATGGACTTATCAGCCCATCCTTCTGTTTTCTGTATCTTTCTCTGTATATCAGGCCATGACTTAGACACAAAATTTAGCTTCAGGAACCCTTCTCCTGTTCGATCATCTGGGTCTACGCCTGAGTACTTTCTCATTTGATCTTTCAGTCTTTGGAGGAATGCACTGGGTATCTCTTCCTTCCCTTGGCTTATATCAAAGCCTTTACTCAAATTCTGGTTCTTAGGTACAGCCTCCTTTATTCCCTCAATTACAATCTCTCTCAAGTCTTCCATGTGTCTCCTATGTTGTTCATTGGTATTTTGCCAATTAGGTTTTTGGAGAGGAAATTTCTGTTCTCCTGTGGGATTGTTGTCCCCACCAGTAGGATGTTTCCTATCCCAATAACTCATGGTATCTCTCCTAATTAATCATCTTTCTCCTCCAGTGAACAAAACATTCAAGATAGCTGTTAATTCACTCCAATTATATATATTGGGTCCCAAGAAATTGTCTAATTGTTCTGAAACTGCTATTGGTCCTCCACCAAGGATTTTAATTCTCTCTTAAAGAACCTCACATCCTGACTAGTAAGTGGGATGTTTACATAAGTTAACTAGGGTAGTCCCTGTCCATCTGTTCCATTAGACACTTCCCTTAAAGGGAGCATTGGTTCCTCTATAATCACTTTCCTTTGTCCTACATCTTTATCTTCCCTTCCAGGAAGAATAGGGAACTGTATAAGGTCTCTTTCACATTGTTCAATCTCTCTCTGCAATTTTGGATATAATCTCTCCTGAGTATCCCTCACAGGTTTTTTCACACTTGGGATATCTTTTTTTTTTTTAAGTTTTACAGCATATTTTATTTCCCTTCTCCAATCTGGGTCTGGGTCTGAGGGAGACCACTGTGCCACAGATTGCCGGATGTGAGTCCCTCTTTGTGAGATGGGGTCATGGGGTTCAGATGGGCTTGCTGCTTATGTACCTGGCTCCCTGCCACGTGGCAACGGCCCTGCCCAAGCTACTCGACGTGATAGCCATGGTGGCAGTTGATACACCCAGGCTTATGGTCATGGGTGATTTCAATCTGCCGTCCGTTGGTGAAACGTCGGAGATGGCTCGGGAGTTAATGGCTTCCATGATGGCCATGGACCTGACCCAGTTAGTTCATGGCCCCACTCACAGGGGGGGACACACGCTGGACCTGATTTTTGTCTCTGGCCAGTGGTTGAGTGGTCTTATTATAGGGGATATAGACATGAAACTCTTGTCATGGTCAGATCACTCACTCCTTCGTCTGGACCTTCGAACCTCTACACCCTGCCGCAGGGAGGCGGACCCAATTAGATGGATCCGCCCCAGGCGCCTGATGGATCCTGATAGGTTCCAGACGGAGCTTGGGCCAATTCCTGAAGATCTGGCACACGACTCGGCCGAGGACCTGGTAGCTGCCTGGGATCGGGCAGCTGGTGGAGCCTTGGATCGAGTCGTGCCTTTGCGGCCTCTGACCCGGTGTCGATCCCTCGTGGCTCCTTGGTTCACCAAGGAGCTGAGGGAGATGAAACGCCGGAAAAGATGCCTAGAGAGCGGTTGGAGGGCCAGTCTCACTGAATCTGACAGAACACTGGTAAGGTCGCATATTAAGACCTACCTAGTGGCGATAAAGACGGCAAAGTTTAACTACTTTTCCGCCTCTATTGCGTCATCAGGGAATCGTCCGGCCGCCCTGCTCAGGGTAATCCGCTCCCTGCTCCATCCGGGAGCATGGGAGGATCCCTTGGAAGGCAGGGCGGAGGATTTCGGACAATACCTGTATGACAAAATCGCTCAGATCCGGGGGGATCTGGACTCTGACTGGGTAGATCAGGGCAGGGTGACGAGGAATAGTCTTGAGAATGTTACCTGGGAGGAGTTTGATGCTGTGACTCCCGATGATGTGGACAGGATTTTGGGGAGACTTAGTGCGGCCACATGTTTACTGGACCCGTGTCCCTCCTGGTTGGTACTGGCCTCCCGGGAGGTTACACGAGGCTGGCTCCAGGGTGTTATCAACGCTTCGTTGAGTGAGGGTCACTTCCCCACTGCCTTGAAAGAAGCAGTGGTGAGGCCTCTCCTCAAGAAGCTGTCCCTGGATCTGGCAATATTGGCCAACTATCGTCCTGTCTCCAACCTTTGCTTCCTGGCGAAGGTTGTTGAGAGTGTGGTCGCACGACAGTTTCCACAATTCTTGGAGGAAACATCCTATCTAGATCCGTTCCAGTCGGGTTTCAGGCCTGGACACGGAAACGGCATTGGTCGCGTTGGTTGATGATCTCTGGAGGGCTCGGGACAGGGGTTGTTCCTCTGTTCTGGTCCTGTTAGACCTCTCAGCGGCTTTTGATACCATCGACCATGGTATCATGCTGCACCGGTTGGAAGAGTTGGGGATGGGGGGCACCGTATTACGGTGGTTCTCCTCCTTTCTCTCCGACCGGTCGCAGTTCGTGTTGGCAGGGGGGCAGAGGTCGACTTCAAGGCCTCTTATATGTGGAGTGCCTCAGGGGTCGGTCCTCTCGCCCCTCCTGTTCAACATTTATGTGAAGCCGCTGGGCGAGATCATCCGTGGCTTTGGGGTGAGATACCACCAGTACGCTGATGACACCCAGCTGTACATCTCCACCCCAGGCCACCCAACGATGCCCTTGAAGTGATGTCCCAGTGCCTGGAGGCTGTGCGGATCTGGATGGAGAGGAACAGGCTCAGGCTCAACCCTTCTAAGACTGAGTGGCTGTGGCTCCCGGCATCCCGATATAGTCAGTTGACTCCATCACTGACTATTGGGGGCGAGTCGTTGGCCCCCACAGAGAGGGCTCGCAATCTGGGAGTCCTCCTGGATAGGCAGCTGTCCTTGGAGGAACATCTGACGGCTGTAACCAGGGGGACTTTTTGTCAGGTTCGCCTGATCCGACAGTTGCGGCCCTTTCTTGATCGGGATTCCCTGTGCACAGTCACTCATGCCCTCGTCACCTCTCGCCTTGACTACTGCAACGCTCTCTACATGGGGCTCCCCTTGAGGAGCACCCGGAGGCTCCAACTGGTCCAGAACGCAGCAGCGCAGGTAGTGACGGGAGCAGCATGGCGCTCCCATGTAACACCGCTCCTGCGCGAGCTGCACTGGCTCCCAGTGGTCTTCCGGGTGCGCTTCAAGGTGTTGGTTATCACCTTTAAAGCGCTCCATGGCATAGGGCCTAGCTATCTTCGAGACCGCCTGCTGCCACCGACGACCTCCCATCGACCCGTGCGCTCCCACAGAGAGGGCCTCCTCGGGGTGCCATCAGCCAAACAGTGCAGGCTGGTGACCCCCAGGGGGAGGGCCTTCTCTGTGGGGGCACCTACCCTCTGGAATCAATTGCCTCCAGAGATAAGGAGAATCCAAGACCTCAGTGCCTTCCGCCGTGCCCTTAAAACCTTCCTTTTCCAGCAAGCCGGGCTGGCCTAATTTTTTAAGTGTTTTTAAGTGTTTTGTTTATTGTTTTTAATTAATGGGGCCAAATTTATATATATATATTTTAACTGTATTTTAATATTTGTACTTGATGTTTTTACTTGGCTGTTCACCGCCCTGAGTCCTCAGGGAGAAGGGCGGTATACAAATTCAAAATAAAATAAAATAAAATAAAAAAAATCTGAGACATAAATTTTGTAGTTTTTGCTTTGAAGATGGTTATATAAAAAGCACATGTTCTCTGAACAGAATATTGCAGCAGAAACCTCCATAAATCAAATGTAGATTAAATTAGCAAGCACAGTCTTCAACACTTGTTAAATGTCTAATGGCAAATCATCTTTGGATTGTTTTTCTCGGCTCTCCACCCATGCTTTGTTAATTGTTCTCTTCATCTCATCATCTCCTTCTGCATATATCTTTTTCAGTAGATTCATCAGTCCTTCACTGGATTCAGATGTATCATAGGAAGCTTTCTCTTTTTCCTTAGTCTCTTTTTCAACCTGTGTTAGGCACTCCCGTTTTTCTTCTTGCTGCTTCTTACATAATATTAAGATCATATCTGTTTTGATCTTCCATGAGCTGCTTTTAGCTAAGATTGGTTTCAGAAGGTTGTTGAACATCATTGCATAGTTTTTGTTATTTAAATTTTTCACCAGCAGATGAAATGAACTTTCTGTAAAGTGCACCTGAATATTCTCAGCTGGCAGATGTTGAACACCACTTAATGTGACATAGATTTTCACAAATTTATCAGACTGATCCCATGCATAATTGTTGATTTTCACTGTATATCCAGTGACTGTTGGTTTTTCTTCTTCAGATCCTTCAGCTTTTAGCTTGAGCGGCTGCCAGTTCTTGATTTCCCTCTCTATTTTGTTTTTTTCTACCAGCACATTTGGGATTTCTTTTTTTTTTTAAATTTTAAAAACAAACTTTATTCGTATTTAAAAAACATTTAAAACAAATATAAGAAAAACAAACAAGTTTCTCTTAATCAAAAACACAAATTACATATACATATACAGTACATATACAGTACTCAACTTCATCTATTGACTACTTTCTATTATTATATATACATATATATATATACATACGCACAGTGGCTTATTTCCTTTTCTATCTATCTGACAGTGTAGTTGTTAATTATATTGATTTCTTCTGAATTTCATCTTTAACCATTCCCCCTCCTCTGATTTATCCACTGGTACCATCTATTCCATATTATGAAGTATTTTGAGTCTTCCTTATCCTGTAACTCTAGAGTTAGTTTGTCCATCTCTGCGCATATATAAATTTTTTGTATTAGCTCCTGGTCAGTTGGCAAGCGATCTATTTTCCAGAGTTGTGCTAATGCTAGTCTAGCCGCCCTTATAATGTGGAGTATTAAATATTTTATATCATTTCTAATATTCTTATTAATCATGCCTAGTAAAAAGACTTTGGGTTTTAATTCAATTTCGTGGTTTGTTATTTCTAATATCCATGTTTTTATTTTGTTCCAAAATCTCTTAATTTCTGGGCAAAGCCACCAAGCATGGTAAAAAGTTCCCTGTGTTTTTTTACATTTCCACAGGCCGGATTTACATTCGGATACATTTTTGCTAACCTTGCGGGTGCCAGATACCACCGGTACCACATCTTGTAATGATTTTCTTTATAGGCTACCGATTTTGTCATGCTATAGTTGTTTTCCCATGCTCTTTCCCAATCTTCCAATTGTATGCTGTGCCCAATGTTCCTCGCCCACGCTATCATCTGCCCTTTGACCAATTCTTCTGCCAAATCGTATTCAAGTAAATATTTATAAATTTTCGAAATTAATTTCCCTTCTTTAGACTCTAGTAGTTTGTCCAATCGATTTTGTTTTAGGTCTATTCCTCCCTCCTCTTGGTCCTTTCTGTATCTTACCTTTATTTGTGAATAGGGCCACCAGTCTATTACTATTCCTTGTTCTTTGAGCTCTTCCCTAGTTTTCAATTTCCCCTGAACATCTACTATTTCTCTATATCTTAAGATCTTTTGTTTTGTTAATATATTGGGGTGAGTCATTGCTTCTATGGTTGATAGCCAGCTGGGAATTTTCATATAGTGTTTGTGTTTGATTTGTTGCCATGTGTTAATTAAAGACTTCCTAATATTATCCTGTCCTGTTGGTGACCCATTGTCTGTTCTTGGATCATGTTAGGTCCCTGGACAATTGCCACCAGGTTTAGGGGTATCTGTGGATTATATGGTAGTGGCAGATTTTCCAGGGGGTCCCACTTCTTTAATGTAACATAGTCTTCATCTGTGTCACTGTCTCTATTTTCTCTCACTACAAATATGCTACCTGGAATACAGCAAGCAACATAATCTGACTGTTCCTCAGAATGTGGTCTGCCATTGACATATACATTTAAGGCTTGGCATAAGCAGTCTTCATAGCTCCCATATTTTGGCTAGAAGACGCCACATCCTTTAATGGGATATACTGGCCATTCAAAGTAACAATACTGAATCATTCTTTTCTTGTCCTTACTTCTAGTCTTTCTGTTGTATTTCCAGTTTTTCAACATTGCCCTTAAAGGACTGTCTGGGGGAATGTTTGGATTGTCTGGGAACCCAGTTTCCTTTTTATTCTTGTCTTGTTTGCTCCCTCTGATTCCCATGTTAGAGGTCACAATCTCTCCAAGTTTAATCTAGACACTTGCTTCATCCTTCTCTGACTGTTTCCCTCTTAGGACAACAGAACTGCAGATCGGGACTGCAGACAAAAAGGATTTTCCAACCACCAGGATAATACTTTTAACAGTCCTCTGTTTCTTACCCTAGTCTGTGCACAGAGTTGCCCAATTGAATTTCAGAATGGTCTAGGTGTCCACCTTCTAGAGAGTCTACTGTCTTTGCTGATTGCAAGTTCAATCTCTTTTTCACTGGATAATGCAGGCAAAGGAAACAGAGACCTCAGTGTTCCATGAGGACCATTGAACTCAACAGGACATATCTTCCTCTCTTATCCTGATGCCTCCTGGATCCTGGTGCTGCTATATCTTGGATGAGTCCCCAAGAAGTTATAAACAGTACATGGAACTACCCGAGACAACAACTTGAAAGCAGCAAAGTACCATATTTTTCGGTCTATAAAAACACACTTCCCCCTCCAAAAAGTGGGTGGAAATGTCTGTGCATTTTATAGAGTGAGTATTGCATCAGCTAGGGGTTTGCCATACCTGGGAAGAGGGAGTTGGTGTGGCAGCAGCAGGCGGCAGTGATCCTCACTGCCTGGAACAGCTGATTGGTAGTATTCCAGGAGGCTGATCCAACTGCTAATCAGCTGCTCAGCTGTGAAGGCTCCAGTGTTCCCCGGCTTAGGCAGCAATGCAGAGGTGGTATTCAGCCAGTTTGGCTGAATGGCTTGTTAACTTTGTATGCAGTTCAGAGAACTAGCTGATCCAACCACTGGCTGGCCTGGGCATGCTCTACATCTGCCTATCCTGCATGAGCTCATTGAGAAGTTTGCTGAGGACGCCCTGCCGCCACCCACTGCCCTGCCGCAAGTGAGCCCTTCCCAGCCTGCATGGTGGACTGTGGCATCAGGTGAGCCCAGAGACACACAGAGAGAGAGGTGTGCATGGATGACACTTGACTTCCAGTGCTAGAGAGGGCGGGCAAGTGAAGCAGCTGAGTTGCTGCCACTTTTCATTGGGGTGCATGTAGAGAGACAGGGCTCCTCTTGCCTTCCCTTTCCCCCTATCACTGGGCATGACAAGGCTTCCTACTCCTCACTTAGCCATCAATACAACTTGGGTGTGGCAGGTGGGGAGGGGTGGGGTGGTGCGGGGAGGAAGGGTACCCAACTCCTGGGCCAATTGGCTTCTTTCTGGCAGGCCTTTCTCTGCCTTTCAGCATCGTCCATCAAAGACAAGGCTTTTGTGGGCAGAAGAGCTGCACTGCAATGGAGAAATGAGCAATGGAGCAGCCAGCTTGAGGGAAGGAGGCTGCTTTCTCCTCTTTCCCTGCTCCTCGTCTTTCCCTCATACCGGCCTCTCCATTGCAGTGCAGAGCCCAGGATCCGTTAGCCAAGGGCAAGCAGTTGAAGCAGGGTGCAATGGGGAGGCCTTGTAGAAAAACACATGGGCCAGGGAGGCAGCGATCCCAGCTGCCTGGCTCATGGGAGGCTTGCAGGAGCCTTGCTGGATACTTTCATGGTAGCAGCAATGCTAGGTTTCCAACAGCAATGGAAGGCAGAGACACTGGGGGGAGGGAGAGAGGCAATCCCAGTTGCCTGGATCATCAGAGCAAGGTCTCGTCTGCTCACTTGGCATGGTTGAAATCTGAAATCTAACTACTATTCCAATCAGCCATTCCTTTGTTTTTACTTTGCTTTACTACTTACACACACACACATACCGGTACATGGGGATGTAAGGGGGCACTGCAGAAACAAAATACTACTCTATGAATAGTGCCTAATAAAGTGCCCTCTAATAAAGTGTCCTCTTTATAAACTCTCCCCTATAAAAGTAAAACCTTGAACGTGTCCCCCATAACAGTATGTCTGCAGCAGATCCTCTATAATAGTGTGCCATTTCTTGATGTTCTCAGCTACAGTACTTTCATAACAATAAAGGCCACATTACTGACAGTTCTTTCTTGTAGAAAAATACTAGGGTACCTCATACTACATACAAGGATGTCAAAGCAGAAAAAACAAGCATATAAAATTTCTTTTAAACTGGAAGAAGTAAAATATGCTGAGGAACATGGAAACAGAGTAGCAGAGAAACATTTTGGGCCACCTCCAACTGAAAAAGTGATAAGAGAGTGGAGGAAACAGGTGAATCAGCTGCAAAAAGTAAAAGATAAAAGTAAGCACAACTTTTGTGGGCTTGCTGCAAAGTGGCCACAGTTAGAGGTGGACATGAAAGAATGGATCACACGTCAATGAAATAATGGCTTCTCAGTTTCTACAAAAATGATAATATATGAAGCCAAATGCATTGCTATAGAGAAAGGCTTTCAGGATTTTGCTGGATCACATGAGGTGATGTGGCCTTGCTATGTGCACCAAAATTAGAATTGTGCAAAAAATGCCAAAAGAATATGAATCTAAGATTCTGTATTTTCATACATTTGTTATTGATGCTAGGAAGAAAAATGATTTTGAAATTGACCAGATTGGGAATATGGATGAAGTCCTGCTAACCTTTGATGTGCCATCTAATAAGACTTTTGGTCTGAAAGGTGCCAAAAGTATAACTGTGAAAACCTCAGGACATGAGAAAACACATTATACGGCTGTGTTGTCCTGCTGTGCAGATGGCACCAAATTGCCACTGATGTTAATTTTCAAAAGGAAAACCTTTCCAAAAGAAGTGATTCTAAAAGGAGTTGTTGTCCATATTCATGAGAAAGAATGAATGGACGAAAATGGAATGAGAGTATGGGTTGAAAAAGTGTGGTCCAAACGTCCTGGAGGGCTTCTGAAAAAACCCCTGCTTTATTAGTGCTCAACCAGTTTAGAGCACATATTAGCGAAACCACAAAGAAAAGATTTAAAGAAGTGAAGACTCATCTAGCTGTAATTCCTGGGGGTCTTACTGTTGTCTCCAATTCTGGTGTGAGCCTGGTGCCAAAGCCAATGGTGGACGCCAGACACAAGGTGCGGGTTTTCTGATTGCTTTTTATTGGAGTACTCCAAGGAAAAGGGCTCCTAGCCAAAATGCCAGGAACCAAGAACAAAGGATTAATAAAGCTTTATACATTTTCACTAAAGAAGAAGGCAGGACTAGGCAGGATAATAAGAAATATCATCCAATAAACATTTTAGCAATAATTCTACAATTTGTTCTATTGGTCTCTAGCCAGGGGTGAAATCCAGCAGGTTCTGACAGGTTCTGGAGAACTGGTAGTGGAAATTTTGAGT